ATGAAATGCATATTTGCTTGAAGTGTATTAGAAGCACAAATGAATATTATTAACTTAATTATATGATGATTAAGTTGATACACACAAGGCATGAAATGGCGGTCAACGAAAACGTGGACCGAAGAACAAAGGATTTAATTAATACCGGTTGGTATTAATTAAATATAAATCTATATAAATGCATGGTTTTGCATGGATTGTGATACATAAGAATTTATGCATTGGATTAGTTATGAGTAACTAAGTATGATATAGACTCTATCTAGGTTGATAGGAGGTTGATAATAGGAAAACTTGGTGGAGGACCCTAGTACTTAAAAAGTACTTAACACTCAAACTTGGTGGAGGACCCTAGTACTTAAAAAGTACTTAACACTCAAACTTGGTGGAGGACCCTAGTACTTAAAAAGTACTTAACACTCAAACTTGGTGGAGGACCCTAGTACTTAAAAAGTACTTAACACTCAAACTTGGTGGAGGACCCTAGTACTTAAAAAGTACTTAACACTCAAAACTTGGTGGAGGACCCTAGTACTTAAAAAGTACTTAACACTCAAACTTGGTGGAGGACCCTAGTACTTAAAAAGTACTTAACACTCAAAACTTGGTGGAGGACCCTAGTACTTAAAAAGTACTTAACACTCAAACTTGGTGGAGGACCCTAGTACTTAAAAAGTACTTAACACTCAAACTTGGTGGAGGACCCTAGTACTTAAAAAGTACTTAACACTCAAAACTTGGTGGAGGACCCTAGTACTTAAAAAGTACTTAACACTCAAACTTGGTGGAGGACCCTAGTACTTAAAAAGTACTTAACACTCAAAACTTGGTGGAGGACCCTAGTACTTAAAAAGTACTTAACACTCAAACTTGGTGGAGGACCCTAGTACTTAAAAGTACTTAACACTCAAAACTTGGTGGAGGACCCTAGGACTTATGAGGCCTTAACACTCACAAACCGGTGGAGTATCCAAGGATTATGATCCTAAAACTCATAGATTATGATATACAAATAGGGACAAGGAGGAGTCCTATACACTCATAGGTATATGGGTGGGTTGGGGTTTTTAGTCAAGAATATTGACTATTACTATTTTTCCCAAATAAAATGGTGATCTACGGATCGGATATTTTCCAAGTATATATTTATACTAATAAATATTTCATAACTTGGGGGAAAGACTATCTATTTAAGTATCACCCTATGTTTGGGTCTTATACTTGAAACGTTAGTTATTCTATATTTAGCCTGCTACTCGCTCGGTACTTGTACTGACCCCTTCGGGGGGCCCCACCATTTTCAGGTTGAAGCTAGGGCTTGCTACTTGCACCTTCTCACGGGTGGTATCATATCGGGAAGACGTGGTTCGTGCTTCCTTATTTTCTTTCAAACTACTGAACACTTGCTCATGGATATTTGCTCTACTATAAACTATTTTTGGGGCTTGCATGCCCATGTTGTTGGCCGGTTGTGGCTTATGACTCACCGTTGAATATTTCCGCTATTCATTGGTTTAAATGTGATGTTGTTATGTATGTCTACTACTGAGTATGGATGGATTATATTCTCGAACGCCTTGTGTAATTAAGTGAGGTTGACTCGCGGGTGACGTCACTTGATTATACGGCGGTTGTATACGTGCTTGGATTGCGGTCCGGGGCGTGACAGGAACCCAATGCAACTCGAAAATCCAAATTTCGTTGTCGTATGCACAATCTAGGTCAATCTCCGTGACTCGGTTGATTTAGTAAACGCGAAAACACTGAATACACGTATCTTTTTTTCTATAAATATATTGGACTTGAGTCCTGAAAGAGAAATGTGTATTTATGATATAGGAACCCAATGCAACTCGAAAATCCAAATTTCGTTGTCGTATGCACAATCTAGGCCAATCTCCGTGACTCGGTTGATTTAGTAAACGCGAAAACACTGAATACACGTATCTTTTTTTCTATACATATTTTCGACTTGAGTCCTGAAAGAGAAATGTGTATTTAACATATAGGAACCCAATGCAACTCGAAAATCCAAATTTCGTTGTCGTATGCACAATCTAGGCCAATCTCCGTGACTCGGTTGATTTAGTAAACGCAAAAACACTGAATACACGTATCGTTTTTTTTATACATAATTTGGACTTGAGTTGTGACACCGCACCCGAACGTCCTTGAAAATTCGATTTAAAAATTCAAAAGTGATGTATTGAATTTCCAATTTCAAAACAATGGGAGAAACGATTAATATTTTACGAAGTACATGATTGAATATTGTATTGTTCAAACCCGCATTCTTTTGTAATTTTCATCGTGTAAATTATTGGGATGAGCCTACACATATTGGAGATCAATAATGTGATTTAGGAAGTTGACTTGTTCTAAATAAATTAGGATGAGTACAAAAAGACATCTTTGACAAAGATAAAACAATAGGACCCATCTTCCCATTTTTTGGAAGTATTGGTAGATATTTTGGACCCCAAATTTAATGGGATCAATTGGGAACCACTCCACATGGTATTAGTACCTGCAAAACAAATAAAAATGGGTTAGGAGACTTACCTTGGCCGGCCATTATGGAGAAGAGCTGCACATGACTTGATAAGAATCAAAGTTTGGGGCCACCACTCTTATTTTCGCACAAATTGGTGTGCTGTTTGTCTCCTCTCATTAGAGGAGCTATCCTCAACCAAATAACGTGTATGAGGTGTCCTTGGATAGCCTTTGAAGTCTATTATCTCAATTGAGTGGTCTTTGTTCGAGGAGAGAAGGCTTATCTTGCAAAAATCGAACTGGAACGAGCAAAGGTCTGTGAACTCGAGCTGTGAGAGTGCTGAGACTGTTTGGTCGATATCTCGAGTTTTACAAGTCCAATTAAGGCGTGTGAGATACCCACAGAAAGCTCTCAAGACGAGGAATCCGTGAAGGTCTGGTTTGCAGGAATCGGAGTTGTGGAAGGCTTCCAAATCGTCCGAGCAAAACACAACCTCGCAGGAGAGGATTTAATCTTCTAAAGTGAGTTTTAACCCCAAAGCTTTACTTTTCATTCTCCAAATGATATGAACGATTGGTGAGACTATTATACACTAATCCAAGTGTATAATATGTCCCTAAAAAGTTATCTTATTGATGTAAAGGTTAGATACTAACCTAGATGCAAATATTGGAAAACTAGGAATCGAGTTAGCCGGAAAACACCCGTTCTAGGGGCTGTTTTCGTATCGACGATTAAGGGTTGAACTAGCACTTTGAGGAGGCTGTTTAACACTCATATTTGAGCAAGGAATCAGTCCCAAATCCACCTTGACCAAAGATTTGACCATTGGACCAAGAAGGGAAAGTTTAAAGCTCAATTGAGGTGAGGATTGACATCTAATTGCTTACAACTTGTAGGTTAAGCATGAGATTACCTAAATGCTTAAATCATGATTTTTCATGGATTATGATGACTATATATTGATGAAATATTGATATAGTTGCCAAAGAATGAATTTGGAATGATTTGAGAAAGTATGAATAATATGAGATTAAATGAGTATAAATGAACTATTTTGTGAAAATGGGCATTTTGCTCATGTATGAATCATGTGGATACATAAATGAATATTTGTGTATTGAGATTGAATACTTAAGTTGCTGCTACATAATTATAAATATGTAGAGAATTACAAACAATGAGGATAATGGTACGATAACAATAATCTTAATAGTATTGGAATACTAGTTAGTGATTATTGGAACTTGTTGATTAAATTGATCCTAGGGATTGGATTGTATGAAAGGTACTTGAATGTAGTTCAAGTGTATATGATAACTTAGTATGGAACTAAGGTTATGTTATGGGGAGTCTTTAAGGATGACCCATGGTAGTTTAATGATATGTCAATTCTAGGCATAGGGTTGCTTGAGAATTGGACCTTAATGCATGGTGATGTGATAGAGCCGAGCTCTAGAATGCATGTAAGGTGTAGACTTGGAGTCTATGTATTGTATAGCTAGAGCCGAGCTCTAGGACTTGCGTGGTGATGTGATAGAGCCGAGCTCTAGAACGCAAGGTAGGGAAATTGACCCGAGGTATATGAATTGTATGGTGATGTGGTAGAGCCGAGCTCTAGAATACAATGTCATGTACTAGGGTTGGACTCTAGGAGTTGTCGTGGCTTATAGTCACGGGGTTGGGAATGGTGATTTCCAAATGAAAACGGGCCCACGGGCCGACTACTTGACTTTTATATAAAGTAAGTATATTTTTAAACGGGGTAACTTAGGGTTACAATCATAATGTACTATCACCCTACTTGAGGGTCTTGTGTTTGAAATACTTGTTGTATATCTATTAGATGCCTGCCACACCAGTACTTTATAGCCGTATAGAGTACTGACCCCTTCGGGGGCGTCCCACCACCATTTCAGGTTGAGGCTAGAGCTTGCTTCCTGTGCTCGTTGATCGAGTGATTCCTTGGAGAGAAGACTTGGTTCGTGCTTCCTCCATTCTGTTTTTAAATAATATTAAACTTGCTCATGGATATTTTACTTTAGAGCCTGCGTGCTCATGTTTGCCCGGTGTGGCCCTTTTGTTTTAAACAATGTTTTCCGCTGCGTATTCAATTGTTTATTATGTATGTTTATGGATGACTTATGTGTGAATGATATTCATGACGCCTTGTATAATATGAATGTGTTGGACTGCGGTTGACTATTCGTATCGTACGGCGGGTTGTTGACGTGTCCGGGGGGGTCCGGGGCGTGACAATTAAGTTGGTATCAGAGCCTTAGTCCATAAACTTCATAATGAAGTCTCAAAATTCTCTTTTTGAAAAGATTTTGAAAACCATGAGCATGGAAGTTTTGTACTTGGAGAGCTTTTGGTACTTGGGTTGCAAGGTCTCTAATTGTTAAGATGGTACCCTTAGCAATTGGTATGGCGGTGACTCGAGCCAAAATGTGTCTTAAGTACCTATCCGTCAATTGACATTTGATACGAGTCTAACGACTCCTTCCAAATTTCTTTCAGAAATGGACCGTGGTGGCAGGATTACTAGGAGAAACCCGACGGGTCGTGTACCAGTGGAGACTGGACAGGGCAGTCGAAGGACCTCTAGGGCATCTAGAGGAGCTGGCCGTGGAGGCCAATCACAGACCGTGAGCGACGGTCATGTCGACACGGAAAGTGAAACCTACTGGTCCTATGAGGACTCGACCTATCGACCGGAAACTGAACCGGTTGAGACCCCTTATGAAGGGGATGATGATGATGTAAGTGATGAGGAGGAAAATGGCTCCTTAGCACGGATTGAAGCACTACTTCAACAGTACCACCGTGAGCGTGAGGAGAGGAGGGAACGCCGAAGGCGCCGGGCTGGGCAACCTTCGGGCGGGGCTTCAAGAGGGAGAAGCCATGGCGACTCTAGGGCCCACATTGAACCACATGGGGGTCGGGGTGATGGAGGTCCAATCATAAGGATCTCCAAATACATCAAAGAGGCACGAGACTTGGGGTGCAAACCGTTCGATGGGACGGGTGACATCTCCGTTTCGGCACAATGGGTTAAGCGGCTGAATGAGGCAGCCCTGGACATGCAACTCACCCCCGAATATAAACTAAGGGTTGCGGTGAGATTGCTTGAAGGTATGGCATCCAAGTGGTGGGATGGGACCAAAGGCAAATATGGCGAGACCGTCACTTGGGAGAATTTCCGACAGGAATTCTTTGCCCAATATTACTCGGATTTTGAGGTGAACAAGAAAGTGAGGGAATACACCCTTCTAACCCAAGGGGGTAACATGACGGTGAGGGAACTTGAGTACAAGTTCAGGGATCTTGCCGATTACATACCTGAGCATGCTTGTGACGAGAACCGGATGGTGAACCACTTCTGGGATGCTCTAGACTTGGAGATACGTGACAGGGCAACACAATTGCCTAACATGACGTTTGCCCAAGTGGTTGACCAAGGGTTGAAAGGAGAGAAGCAATGGGAAGAAAGGAAGAAGAGAGACGCCGAGGAGGCGAAAAAGAGAAAGTGGGAGAGTCATGGCTCCCAAGGTTCCAACAAAAAGGGGAACCACGGAGGAGGATCTTTCCGGGCACCACCGCCACCATATAGGGGGAACCAAGGCCCGAGTGGGCAAGGCGCGAGGTCACAAACCTCAGTGGTAGCTCGTTGCAACAATTGCAAGAAGAACCACTCCGGTAAATGTCGCGACCCCCCCTAGATGTTTTCAATGCGGGGATGCCGGGCATTTGAAGGCACATTGCCCACAATTGAGTGGGGCAAGGACATCGGGGCCGAGTAGCGGTCCGACGGGTACACGGAATCAAACCGGAGCTTCTCAAGCGAGCCGGGGACATGGGGGAGCGAGTACGAGCAACGCGCCATCCGTGAATCAGGGAAGAACTCAAGCTAGAGTTTATGCGATGACGGAGGCGGATGCTCGAGCTAACCCGGACTCGGTTGCAGGTATTGCCTCTTGCACAATTGTATTTTGTCCATATTTAATCCATAAATTGATGACATAAGTCATAGGGATTGAGTGCGAGCCATTTCGGGGTCAAACGCGAAATTCGGGCCAAAACTGACCAAAAACAGGGACGCACGATCGTGCGTCCAACCCCACGCACGATCGTGCGTAGGGGACAGTGGTTCCAGGTGAATTTCGCGCAGGACGCACGACCGTGCGTGCCGGTACGCACGCCGTGCGTGGACGCACGATCGTGCGTGGCCGGGTACGCACGATCGTGCGTAACCGGCAGTGGTCGGATTCGACGCTTCTTCACGCACGCACGACCGTGCGTGTCCCACGCACGACCGTGCGTGGACCCCAGCCGCCCGAAACCTAAGTTTTTCCTCTCGTTCTTCTACGATTGGACCCCCGTTTGATTCCGAACATCTATATGAACCTATTAACCTCCAAAAAGTGTCCTAAACCATTAAAAAAGGTGTCTTACATGGTTCATGAATGTAGGGACACTAAAGATTAACGGGAAGGATGCACGAATCCTTATCGATACCGGAGCGCAACGTTCATTCGTGAGTGAGGCGTTTGCCGAGAGCTTAGAGATGCAATCAATACCAATGACACAAACCTTAGTGGTATCAACCCCACTAGGGGAAGACGTTGAAAGAAACAATTACTATCCATCTTGTATGGTGGAAATCGGTGGCCAAACCTTGACGTGTGATTTCGTACCGCTGAGTATGATGGAGTTCGATGCAATCCTAGGGATGGATTGGCTAGAAAAGCATCATGCTAGGGTAGATTGCTACACAAAGGTGTTGGAACTCGAAGGCACGCATGGGGACACCCTACGCTTCGAGGGGGACCGCGGCAAATCAAATAGTTGTATCATATCCGCCGTGAGAGCGAGAAATATGATGAGGAAGGGATGCCACGCATATCTAGCATACGTGGTTGACAAAACCAAAGAGGGAACGAACATCGATGATGTGAGGGTGGTTTGTAAGTATCCGGATGTCTTCCCTAAAGACCTACCGGGGCTTCCACCTGACAGGGAGATTGAATTTGTGATCGAGGTCGAGCCTGGTACCAAACCAATCTCCATACCGCCATACCGGATGGCACCCGCTGAACTTAACGAGTTAAAAACCCAATTGCAAGAGCTTTTGGATAACGGTTTCATTAGACCAAGCCACTCCCCGTGGGGAGCACCGGTTCTTTTTGTGAAAAAGAAAGATGGGACACTTCGAATGTGCATTGACTATCGTCAACTGAACAAGGTCACAATCAAGAATAGGTATCCGTTGCCTAGGATTGATGACTTGTTTGATCAACTACGAGGAGCAACCGTGTTTTCGAAGATTGACTTAAGGTCGGGGTACCATCAATTGAAGATTAAGGAAGATGACATACCAAAGAGTGCTTTCCGCACAAGGTATGGGCATTTTGAGTTCCTTGTTATGTCGTTTGGGTTAACAAACGCCCCGGCGGCATTCATGGACTTGATGAACCGAGTATTTCATAAATACTTGGATCGATTCGTGATTGTGTTCATAGATGACATCTTGATTTACTCAAAGAGTGAAGAAGAGCATGAGGAGCACTTGATACTTGTTCTTGAAACACTACGGGAGAAGCAACTCTATGCCAAATTTTCTAAATGTGAATTTTGGCTAAAGGAGATTGGCTTCCTCGGGCACGTGGTTTCGGGATCGGGAATTGCTGTTGATAACAAGAAGATAGAAGCCATCACTGAATGGGAGAGGCCAAAGAACGTCAAGGAAATTCGTAGTTTCCTTGGATTGGCAGGCTACTATAGAAAGTTCGTGGAAAAGTTCTCTGTTTTGGCATCGCCATTGACGAAGCTCACTCGTAAAGGAGCTAAGTTTGTATGGGATGACAAATGTGAGAAAGGGTTCATGGAACTAAAGAAGAGGTTGACTGAGGCACCGGTACTTGCATTACCCAAACAAGGTGTGGGGTACGATGTCTATAGCGATGCGAGCATTCAAGGGCTCGGATGTGTACTGATGCAGAATGGGAGGGTAATCGCCTATGCTTCACGACAATTGAAGAAGCATGAGGTGAATTATCCTACTCATGATTTGGAGCTCGGGGCAGTGGTATTTGCACTGAAGATATGGAGACATTATCTCTACGGGGAGACATGTCACATATACACTGATCACAAGAGCTTGAAGTACGTGTTTACTCAGAAAGAGCTAAACATGAGACAGAGACGGTGGATGGAGCTGATAAAAGACTACCATCTGGTGATAGAGTATCACCCAGGCAAGGCAAACGTGGTGGCAGATGCTTTGAGCCGGAAGAGCTCGTCTGGGGCATTGATAACTAATTTGAGGGCATTAAGAGCCCAACTGGAGGTAACCAGCGATGGTGCCTTATTGGCACGATTTGAGGTGAGACCCACTTTACTTGATGAGATCAAGAAGGGTCAGGAAGCCGACGAAGAACTTATGAAGGTCCGGGAACGCATGCAAGCGGGGCCGGTGGAGGATTTCAGGGAAAGAGATGATGGTCTCTTGTTATTTCGTGACCGAGTGTGTGTACCGTCAGATGATGAGCTCCGAAAGTCCATCTTAGAGGAGGCTCATTCATCGGCTTATGCCATGCACCCGGGGGGCACGAAAATGTACCGTGATTTGAAGGAAAGTTACTGGTGGTCTGGAATGAAGAGGGAAATAGCCGAGTACATCAGTCGGTGCCTTACTTGTCAACAAGTTAAGGCAGAACATCAGCACCCAGCAGGCTTATTGCAACCACTCTCCATCCCTGAATGGAAGTGGGAGCACGTGACTATGGATTTCGTGGTAGGCTTACCACGGACTATCAGGAACTATGACGCGGTTTGGGTCGTTGTGGATAGGCTCACAAAGAGTGCACACTTCTTGCCTATCAACACTACCTACCCACTTGAGAGGTTAGCCAAATTGTATACGGATGAGATCGTGAGGCTGCATGGGGTCCCGGTGACCATTGTATCTGATAGAGACCCACGATTCACATCACGTTTTTGGCCGAAATTCCAGGAGTCTATGGGAACGAAGTTGAAGTTCAGCACTGCTTTCCATCCACAGACGGATGGGCAGTCTGAAAGGGTTATTCAGATCCTAGAAGACATGCTGAGGGCTTGTGCATTGGAGTTCCAGGGAAGTTGGGACAACCACTTAGCACTTGTGGAGTTTGCCTATAACAACAGTTATCAGGCAAGCATCGGCATGCCTCCATACGAGGCATTGTATGGGAGGAGGTGCCGTACACCGTTATGCTGGGACGAGGTTGGCATGGCCAAACTCGAGGGTACTGAGTTGGTTGAGGTCACCAAATCAAAGGTGAAGTTGATTCGAGAGAGACTCAAGGCGGCTCAGGATAGACAAAAGAGTTATGCAGATAAGCGTCGAAGAACCTTAGAGTTTAAGGTTGATGACGAGGTATTCTTGAAAGTTTCTCCTTGGAAAGGGATCATTCGGTTCCAAACCCGAGGAAAACTTAACCCACGATATATAGGTCCATTCAGAATTATAGAGAGGATTGGGGCCGTTGCATATCGTCTACAGTTGACTCCTGAGTTAGAGAAGATACATAATGTGTTTCATGTATCCATGCTTAAGAAGTATGTGCATGATCCCTCTCACGTACTAGAGAAGCCACCTGTAGAGGTACGTGAGGATTTGAACTACGCTGTTCAACCTATCAAGGTCACCGATAGAAAGGTGAAGAAGCTGAGGAGCAAAGAAGTCCCAATGGTTAAAGTCCTGTGGAAGAGCGATCGGGTCGAGGAAGAGACATGGGAAACGGAGGCTTTGATGAGGAAGCAGTATGCTTTCCTATTCGAGTAGAGCTGTGAATTTCGGGGACGAAATTCCTGTTAAGGGGGGGTGAACTTGTGACACCGCACCCGAACGTCCTTGAAAATTCGATTTAAAAATTCAAAAGTGATGTATTGAATTTCCAATTTCAAAACAATGGGAGAAACGATTAATATTTTACGAAGTACATGATTGAATATTGTATTGTTCAAACCCGCATTCTTTTGTAATTTTCATCGTGTAAATTATTGGGATGAGCCTACACATATTGGAGATCAATAATGTGATTTAGGAAGTTGACTTGTTCTAAATAAATTAGGATGAGTACAAAAAGACATCTTTGACAAAGATAAAACAATAGGACCCATCTTCCCATTTTTTGGAAGTATTGGTAGATATTTTGGACCCCAAATTTAATGGGATCAATTGGGAACCACTCCACATGGTATTAGTACCTGCAAAACAAATAAAAATGGGTTAGGAGACTTACCTTGGCCGGCCATTATGGAGAAGAGCTGCACATGACTTGATAAGAATCAAAGTTTGGGGCCACCACTCTTATTTTCGCACAAATTGGTGTGCTGTTTGTCTCCTCTCATTAGAGGAGCTATCCTCAACCAAATAACGTGTATGAGGTGTCCTTGGATAGCCTTTGAAGTCTATTATCTCAATTGAGTGGTCTTTGTTCGAGGAGAGAAGGCTTATCTTGCAAAAATCGAACTGGAACGAGCAAAGGTCTGTGAACTCGAGCTGTGAGAGTGCTGAGACTGTTTGGTCGATATCTCGAGTTTTACAAGTCCAATTAAGGCGTGTGAGATACCCACAGAAAGCTCTCAAGACGAGGAATCCGTGAAGGTCTGGTTTGCAGGAATCGGAGTTGTGGAAGGCTTCCAAATCGTCCGAGCAAAACACAACCTCGCAGGAGAGGATTTAATCTTCTAAAGTGAGTTTTAACCCCAAAGCTTTACTTTTCATTCTCCAAATGATATGAACGATTGGTGAGACTATTATACACTAATCCAAGTGTATAATATGTCCCTAAAAAGTTATCTTATTGATGTAAAGGTTAGATACTAACCTAGATGCAAATATTGGAAAACTAGGAATCGAGTTAGCCGGAAAACACCCGTTCTAGGGGCTGTTTTCGTATCGACGATTAAGGGTTGAACTAGCACTTTGAGGAGGCTGTTTAACACTCATATTTGAGCAAGGAATCAGTCCCAAATCCACCTTGACCAAAGATTTGACCATTGGACCAAGAAGGGAAAGTTTAAAGCTCAATTGAGGTGAGGATTGACATCTAATTGCTTACAACTTGTAGGTTAAGCATGAGATTACCTAAATGCTTAAATCATGATTTTTCATGGATTATGATGACTATATATTGATGAAATATTGATATAGTTGCCAAAGAATGAATTTGGAATGATTTGAGAAAGTATGAATAATATGAGATTAAATGAGTATAAATGAACTATTTTGTGAAAATGGGCATTTTGCTCATGTATGAATCATGTGGATACATAAATGAATATTTGTGTATTGAGATTGAATACTTAAGTTGCTGCTACATAATTATAAATATGTAGAGAATTACAAACAATGAGGATAATGGTACGATAACAATAATCTTAATAGTATTGGAATACTAGTTAGTGATTATTGGAACTTGTTGATTAAATTGATCCTAGGGATTGGATTGTATGAAAGGTACTTGAATGTAGTTCAAGTGTATATGATAACTTAGTATGGAACTAAGGTTAAGTTATGGGGAGTCTTTAAGGATGACCCATGGTAGTTTAATGATATGTCAATTCTAGGCATAGGGTTGCTTGAGAATTGGACCTTAATGCATGGTGATGTGATAGAGCCGAGCTCTAGAATGCATGTAAGGTGTAGACTTGGAGTCTATGTATTGTATAGCTAGAGCCGAGCTCTAGGACTTGCGTGGTGATGTGATAGAGCCGAGCTCTAGAACGCAAGGTAGGGAAATTGACCCGAGGTATATGAATTGTATGGTGATGTGGTAGAGCCGAGCTCTAGAATACAATGTCATGTACTAGGGTTGGACTCTAGGAGTTGTCGTGGCTTATAGTCACGGGGTTGGGAATGGTGATTTCCAAATGAAAACGGGCCCACGGGCCGACTACTTGACTTTTATATAAAGTAAGTATATTTTTAAACGGGGTAACTTAGGGTTACAATCATAATGTACTATCACCCTACTTGAGGGTCTTGTGTTTGAAATACTTGTTGTATATCTATTAGATGCCTGCCACACCAGTACTTTATAGCCGTATAGAGTACTGACCCCTTCGGGGGCGTCCCACCACCATTTCAGGTTGAGGCTAGAGCTTGCTTCCTGTGCTCGTTGATCGAGTGATTCCTTGGAGAGAAGACTTGGTTCGTGCTTCCTCCATTCTGTTTTTAAATAATATTAAACTTGCTCATGGATATTTTACTTTAGAGCCTGCGTGCTCATGTTTGCCCGGTGTGGCCCTTTTGTTTTAAACAATGTTTTCCGCTGCGTATTCAATTGTTTATTATGTATGTTTATGGATGACTTATGTGTGAATGATATTCATGACGCCTTGTATAATATGAATGTGTTGGACTGCGGTTGACTATTCGTATCGTACGGCGGGTTGTTGACGTGTCCGGGGGGGTCCGGGGCGTGACATGAGTCCTGAAAGAGAAATGTGTATTTATGATATAGGAACCCAATGCAACTCGAAAATCCAAATTTCGTTGTCGTATGCACAATCTAGGCCAATCTCCGTGACTCGGTTGATTTAGTAAACGCGAAAACACTGAATACACGTATCCTTTTTTCTATACATAATTTGGACTTGAGTCCTGAAAGAGAAATGTGTATTTAACATATAGGAACCCAATGCAACTCGAAAATCCAAATTTCGTTGTCGTATGCACAATCTAGGCCAATCTCTGTGACTCGGTTGATTTAGTAAACGCAAAAACACTGAATACACGTATCGTTTTTTCTATACATAATTTGGACTTGAGTCCTGAAAGAGAAATGTGTGTTTATGATATAGGAACCCAATGCAACTCGAAAATCCAAATTTCGTTGTCGTATGCACAATCTAGGCCAATCTCCGTGACTCGGTTGATTTAGTAAACGCGAAAACACTGAATACACGTATCTTTTTTTCTATACATAATTTGGACTTGAGTCCTGAAGGAGAAATGTGTATTTATGATATAGGAACCCAATGCAACTCGAAAATCCAAATTTCGTTGTCGTATGCACAATCTAGGCCAATCTCCGTGACTCGGTTGATTTAGTAAACGCGAAAACACTGAATACACGTATCTTTTTTTCCATACATTATTTGGACTTGAGTCCTGAAGGAGAAATGTGTATTTATGATATAGGAACCCAATGCAACTCGAAAATCCAAATTTCGTTGTCGTATGCACAATCTAGGCCAATCTCCGTGACTCGGTTAATTTAGTAAACGCGAAAACACTGAATACACGTATCTTTTTTTCTATACATAATTTAGACTTGAGTCCTGAAGGAGAAATGTGTATTTATGATATAGGAACCCAATGCAACTCGAAAATCCAAATTTCGTTGTCGTATGCACAATCTAGGCTAATCTCCGTGACTCGGTTGATTTAGTAAACGCGAAAACACTGAATACACGTATCTTTTTTTCTATACATAATTTGGACTTGCGTCCTGAAGGAGAAATGTGTATTTATGATATGGGAACCCAATGCAACTCGAAAATCCAAATTTCGTTGTCGTATGCACAATCTAGGCCAATCTCCGTGACTCGGTTAATTTAGTAAACGCGAAAACACTGAATACACGTATCTTTTTTTCTATACATAATTTGGACTTGAGTCCTGAAAGAGAAATGTGTATTTATGATATAGGAACCCAATGCAACTCGAAAATCCAAATTTCGTTGTCGTATGCACAATCTAGGTCAATCTCCGTGACTCGGTTGATTTAGTAAACGCGAAAACACTGAATACACGTATCTTTTTTTCTATAAATATATTGGACTTGAGTCCTTAAAGAGAAATGTGTATTTATGATATAGGAACCCAATGCAACTCGAAAATCCAAATTTCGTTGTCGTATGCACAATCTAGGCCAATCTCCGTGACTCGGTTGATTTAGTAAACGCGAAAACACTGAATACACGTATCTTTTTTTCTATACATAATTTGGACTTGAGTCCTGAAGGAGAAATGTGTATTTATGATATAGGAACCCAATGCAACTCGAAAATCAAAATTTCGTTGTCGTATGCACAATCTAGGCCAATCTCCGTGACTCGGTTGATTTAGTAAACGCGAAAACACTGAATACACGTATCTTTTTTTCTATACATAATTTGGACTTGAGTCCTGAAAGATAAATGTGTATTTAACATATAGGAACCCAATGCAACTCGAAAATCCAAATTTCGTTGTCGTATGCACCATCTAGGCCAATCTCCGTGACTCGATTGATTTAGTAAACGCGAAAACACTGAATACACGTATCTTTTTTTCTATACATAATTTGGACTTGAGTCCTGAAAGAGAAATGTGTATTTATGATATAGGAACCCAATGCAACTTGAAACTCCAAATTTCGTTGTCGTATGCACAATCTAGGTCAATCTCCGTGACTCGGTTGATTTAGTAAACGCAAAAACACTGAATACACGTATCGTTTTTTCTATACATAATTTGGACTTGAGTCCTGAAAGAGAAATGTGTATTTATGATATAGGAACCCAATGCAACTCGAAAATCCAAATTTCGTTGTCGTATGCACAATCTAGGCCAATCTCCGTGACTCGGTTGATTTAGTAAACGCGAAAACACTGAATACACGTATCCTTTTTTCTATACATAATTTGGACTTGAGTCCTGAAAGAGAAATGTGTATTTAACATATAGGAACCCAATGCAACTCGAAAATCCAAATTTCGTTGTCGTATGCACAATCTAGGCCAATCTCCGTGACTCGGTTGATTTAGTAAACGCGAAAACACTGAATACACGTATCTTTTTTTCTATACATAATTCGGACTTGAGTCCTGAAAGATAAATGTGTATTTAACATATAGGAACCCAATGCAACTCGAAAATCCAAATTTCGTTGTCGTATGCACAATCTAGGCCAATCTCCGTGACTCGGTTGATTTAGTAAACGCGAAAACACTGAATACACGTATCTTTTTTTCTATACATAATTTGGACTTGAGTCCTGAAAGAGAAATGTGTATTTATGATATAGGAACCCAATGCAACTTGAAACTCCAAATTTCGTTGTCGTATGCACAATCTAGGTCAATCTCCGTGACTCGGTTGATTTAGTAAACGCGAAAACACTGAATACACGTATCTTTTTTTCTATAAATATATTGGACTTGAGTCCTGAAAGAGAAATGTGTATTTATGATATAGGAACCCAATGCAACTCGAAAATCCAAATTTCGTTGTCGTATGCACAATCTAGGCCAATCTCCGTGACTCGGTTGATTTAGTAAACGCGAAAACACTGAATACACGTATCTTTTTTTCTATACATAATTTCGACTTGAGTCCTGAAAGAGAAATGTGTATTTAACATATAGGAACCAAATGCAACTCGAAAATCCAAATTTCGTTGTCGTATGCACAATCTAGGCCAATCTCCGTGACTCGGTTGATTTAGTAAACGCGAAAACACTGAATACACGTATCTTTTTTTCCATACATTATTTGGACTTGAGTCCTGAAGGAGAAATGTGTATTTATGATATAGGAACCCAATGCAACTCGAAAATCCAAATTTCGTTGTCGTATGCACAATCTAGGCCAATCTCCGTGACTCGGTTTATTTAGTAAACGCGAAAACACTGAATACACGTATCTTTTTTTCTATACATAATTTAGACTTGAGTCCTAAAGGAGAAATGTGTATTTATGATATAGGAACCCAATGCAACTCGAAAATCCAAATTTCGTTGTCGTATGCACAATCTAGGCTAATCTCCGTGACTCGGTTGATTTAGTAAACGCGAAAACACTGAATACACGTATCTTTTTTTCTATACATAATTTGGACTTGCGTCCTGAAGGAGAAATGTGTATTTATGATATGGGAACCCAATGCAACTCGAAAATCCAAATTTCGTTGTCGTATGCACAATCTAGGCCAATCTCCGTGACTCGGTTAATTTAGTAAACGCGAAAACACTGAATACACGTATCTTTTTTTCTATACATAATTTGGACTTGAGTCCTGAAAGCGAAATGTGTATTTATGATATAGGAACCCAATGCAACTCGAAAATCCAAATTTCGTTGTCGTATGCACAATCTAGGTCAATCTCCGTGACTCGGTTGATTTAGTAAACGCGAAAACACTGAATACACGTATCTTTTTTTCTATAAATATATTGGACTTGAGTCCTTAAAGAGAAATGTGTATTTATGATATAGGAACCCAATGCAACTCGAAAATCCAAATTTCGTTGTCGTATGCACAATCTAGGCCAATCTCCGTGACTCGGTTGATTTAGTAAACGCGAAAACACTGAATACACGTATCTTTTTTTCTATACATAATTTGGACTTGAGTCCTGAAGGAGAAATGTGTATTTATGATATAGGAACCCAATGCAACTCGAAAATCAAAATTTCGTTGTCGTATGCACAATCTAGGCCAATCTCCGTGACTCGGTTGATTTAGTAAACGCGAAAACACTGAATACACGTATCTTTTTTTCTATACATAATTTGGACTTGAGTCCTGAAAGATAAATGTGTATTTAACATATAGGAACCCAATGCAACTCGAAAATCCAAATTTCGTTGTCGTATGCACCATCTAGGCCAATCTCCGTGACTCGATTGATTTAGTAAACGCGAAAACACTGAATACACGTATCTTTTTTTCTATACATAATTTGGACTTGAGTCCTGAAAGAGAAATGTGTATTTATGATATAGGAACCCAATGCAACTTGAAACTCCAAATTTCGTTGTCGTATGCACAATCTAGGTCAATCTCCGTGACTCGGTTGATTTAGTAAACGCAAAAACACTGAATACACGTATCGTTTTTTCTATACATAATTTGGACTTGAGTCCTGAAAGAGAAATGTGTATTTATGATATAGGAACCCAATGCAACTCGAAAATCCAAATTTCGTTGTCGTATGCACAATCTAGGCCAATCTCCGTGACTCGGTTGATTTAGTAAACGCGAAAACACTGAATACACGTATCCTTTTTTCTATACATAATTTGGACTTGAGTCCTGAAAGAGAAATGTGTATTTAACATATAGGAACCCAATGCAACTCGAAAATCCAAATTTCGTTGTCGTATGCACAATCTAGGCCAATCTCCGTGACTCGGTTGATTTAGTAAACGCGAAAACACTGAATACACGTATCTTTTTTTCTATACATAATTCGGACTTGAGTCCTGAAAGATAAATGTGTATTTAACATATAGGAACCCAATGCAACTCGAAAATCCAAATTTCGTTGTCGTATGCACAATCTAGGCCAATCTCCGTGACTCGGTTGATTTAGTAAACGCGAAAACACTGAATACACGTATCTTTTTTTCTATACATAATTTGGACTTGAGTCCTGAAAGAGAAATGTGTATTTATGATATAGGAACCCAATGCAACTTGAAACTCCAAATTTCGTTGTCGTATGCACAATCT